TCCCCTCCTCCCCCCCCTCTCCCTGCTCGGCTCGGCCTCCCCTTCCTCCCTGCTGGGCTCCCCTCCTCTCCCCGTCGCTCTCCAGCTTCCAGCCTTCTCTCCCCGCCTCCTCCTCTCCAGCCTCTTCTCTCCGTTTCTCCGTCTCTCTCTTCTCTCTCGTCCCTTCCTCCGCCTCCCCCTCCCTCTCTTCCCAGTCTTGGTGTTATTTAATTTTTTGTTGTTGTGGTTGGGGGGCGGGTGATCTCACTACAGCAAACACTCCGCGGGTCTCAGGGCCACCGGCTGGAGGAACCGGGGTGCGCGAGCTCTCGGAGACCCGGACTGGAGTCGCACCAGCGCCTGCAGCCCCCGCCCCGGGCTCCACGCGGTCCTCCGCAAGGGGCTGCCTTAACGGGGCCGGGGGATCCCCTGGGAGACCGGGATGCGGTGAGGCTCGCTGGCCAGGAGAGGGAGGCAGAGACCTGGCGAGGGAGAGAGGGGCGGGGCGCAGGGGCCGGGAGGGCGGAGGCGAGGGAGCTGGAGGCGAGGGCCGCGGACTGCGGAGGCCGGGGCAGGACCCCGATCCCGAGCCAGGCGCTGGGAGACATGGCGGAGGGAGGCAGCAGGTTAGGATGGGAGAACAAGAGGCCAGGCGGGAGGGAGGGAGGGAGAGATGAGAGCGAGGGCGGGCGCCATAGAGGCAAGACAGATATAGGGACACACTTCAGAGAGGGAAGCAGAGACTCAGAGACGGAAAGAGACCTGCCAGGCAGGAAGGGAGTGGACTGAGACACACGCGGAGAAAGAGAAATCCAAAGACAGAGAGAGACATCAAATATTAAAGAGAGATAAAGAGACATAGAGACACGCCCAGCAATTCAGGCTGAGAGACAGAGAAACAGAGAGCTAGAGACGGAGAGACCTGGAGACAGACGCGCATATGCTCAGCTATAAATAGAGGCAGGCAGTCCTGCAGAGAAGGACATCAGCAGTGGAACAGATGGACAGAGACAGAGAGACCCAGAGGGAGGGACAGAGGCCCAGAGAGGGACCAGCTGGCATGAGGGGAGCCGCTGGAAGGGACTCAGGAAGGCAGAGGCATTGGGAGATAGCCAGCCGGAGTGGGCATTCCAGGACTGAGACGTGGAAAGAGACGGCCATCCAGAGACAGAAATGAAGGGAGTGTGGGGAACCGCCCGTTTCTGTGTAAATTACCCCAAAACTCAGTGGCTTAAAGCAACTAACACTTCTTGTCTTACAGTGTCTGAGAGTTAGAGCTTCCGGCGTGGTGTAATTGGGGGCTCCACACCCCAGGAGAGTTCAGGGAAGCTGCCAGCCAGGGCCGCAGTCATCCCAAGCCTTTAATGACCAGGCCTCTGGATGCCCCACACCTTTTATTTGATTCGTGGGGAATGAGTCACTACGCTTAACCCACACCCTAAGGGAAGGGAAGCCGGCTCCCCTCTGGAAGGAAGGCGCATCAAAGCATTTGTGAACTTACTCTATTTTATTACATATTTGTTTATTTTAATTGCCAGAGGGCCCGTGTGCTTGCCACAGAAAGAGATGAAGAGATAGAGGGGGGGAAATGCACCCCGTAATGCAGCGTGGTCACACCCAACCCCTTCTCCATTGCGCCGCCCAGTTAGGACTTTGGACGTGCACTCACGCACACCCGGCACATTTTTTAAGCTACCAGGGCCAGGTTAAACCTGTAATGGGCCGTGTGAGATCCTGGCCCCCATAACCATTAGGCCACAGAGCTGAACCTTATTTATTTATTTATTTTAGAAACTTTTGCTATAGGGTGTGTGCACTCACTGGAGAGAGACAGAAAGCAAGAAATCACCTCCCAGGGGAGATACCACGCCACAATCCCTTCTCCTCCACTCCCCTCTCGGGATTTTGGGCACACACACACACTCACACCCAGCGTGAATTTAAACCACCAGGTCTGGGACTCGAACTGTAGTCAACTATGTGGGAGTTCAGCAATGTAGCCATTATACCATCTGCTGGTCCCCTAATTTTTTTTTTAAAGTTTATTTATTTCTTCCATGAGCTAGAGAGACAGAGAGAGAGAGAGAGAAGGGGACACAACACCCCCAGCAGTGTCTTCACACCGATATCCCCGCCTGCTCCCACCCCCCAGCCTGTCTCAGCCAGCCCCATTCATGGGAGGGAGGGCACATGCATGCCTGGCACACTCAAGGAGGTCTCCCCCAGGGGGTCAGCCTCTACACCACCAGCTGGTCCATAGGGCATATGCACTCGCCAGAAAGACAGAGAGACAGAAACCGAGAAATCACCCCCCGGGGGGGTGGCCACGCCACAATCCCTTCTTCTCCGTTCTCCTCTCAGGATCTTGGGCACGCACGCACACGCGCCCGGCGTGAGTTTAAGCCACAAGGTCTGGGACTTGAACCCTGGTTGACTACGTGGGAGTCCAGCAACATAGCCATTATGCTAACTGCTGGTCCCAGGCGCTTGTTTTTGGTTTGTTCATTTGTTTTTTCACATGCTCTTGGGTGCATGCATGAGCCTTCCAGAGACAGAGGCATAGCTTGGAGTGATTGGCCACAAGTCAAGAAACGCCAGGACCCACTCAAAGCTGGAAGAGGCCTGAAAGGGATTTCCCCCAGAGCCTTTGGAGGGAGAACGGCCCTAACGACACTTTAATTTTGGACTTCTGGCCTCTGGAACTATGAGCTGACACATTTCTGTCACCTTTCCTTTTTTAGTTTTTTTTACATTGGTCATGTGCACTTGACAGAGAGAGACAGAGAGAGAAGGAAAGAGAAAGTGAGAAATCACCCCTGGGGAGACAGCCACACTGAAATCCCTTCTCCTCCATTATCCATTCGGGGTTTGGGGTGCACACGCACACGCACCCAGTGTGGTTTTCAAGCTGCCAGGTCTAGGACTCAAACCACACAGTTGTCTGTGTGGGATCCAGAGCCCTGACCTTCATGCCACCTGCTGGCCCAACTTTCTCTTCCCCTTCCCCTCCCCTAGAGGTTTTTGCTACAGGGTACATGCGCATTCCAGAAAGACAGAGAGAGACAGAGAGACAGAAGGTGAGAAATCACCCCCCCTTCCCCCTTGCAATCCCTTCTCCTCCATTTTTCTCTCGGGATCTTGGGCACACACGCACATGCACCCAGCGTGAATTTAAGTCACCGGGTCCGGGACTCGAACCGTGGTCGACTACGTGGGAGTCCAGCAACATAGCCATGATGCTAACTGCTGGTCCCCTGAAATTTCTCTTTATAACCCACAAAATTTGTGGTAATTTTTTATGTCAGCCAATCTCACAGATGGGGAGAAATAATGAGAAAGATATAGAACCAATAAGAGGCAGAGATGAAGGAATTAAAAGTTGCAGAGGAAGAGACAGGCAGGAAGAATGGGCTCTCCCTGAAATGTAAGCTCTCCTCCTCCAGGAAGCCTTCCCTGACCTCCAGGCTGCATCAGTCTCTGCTGTGGATGCTGACAGTGCCATGGCTACCTCTGTTAATCTCATTATAGAGGGGCTGTGTTTTTGTGTATCACCCTTCAAGAGCCAAGGTATGACCCATATCTGGGTCCCCAATGTCATTGCACACAGGGCTAGGCATGGGGATACTGCAGGAGAGCAAGCAGGCATGACTGGGTGAAACCATACTCCTGATGTCTCTCCCTAGAGATTCTGCCTGAGAGACTCCTGGATTTTCTGCAATTCCTGTGGAGAGCCTTACCTCCTCCAGGAAGTCTTCCCTGATTCCCAGGCTGGAATGTCTCTTCTAGGCTCCCATAGCACTCCTGCTGCCTCCACTGTTACACAGCATACCAAATAGGACTGCCCAGGTATCCTACCCACACTCCAGTTTACACAGATCCGGGGGCGGGCTCATGCCCCAGTGCCGGCATTACTCAGAACTTGGGAGGATGCTGAATGAATAAGTGAATAAATAATGTAAAAATACAGGGACCATGGGGCCAGCCAGTGGTGTAGAGGTTGAGGTACTGGGTCCCACATGACCGAGGGATCAAGTCCCAGACCCAACAGCTTGAAAGACATGCCAGGCACGCGTGCACACATGCCCAAGGGGAGAATGCAGAAGAGGGGGTTGTGGCATGGCCATTGCCCGGGGGGGGTGCATTCTCACTTTCTCTGTCTGTGTGTCTCTGTCTGGAGAGTGCAAGCATTCTACTGCAAACTACCCAAAAAAGTTTTATTGATTCATTTCTTTCATGAGTGTGGAAGACACAGACAGAAAGAGAGCACCTCTGACAGGGTCTTTTTTAAAAATTTTTTGTAAGAATTATTTATTGACTTTTATTTATTCATTCATTTATTTTCATTTGACCAGAGAAAGACAGATACACAGAGAGAAAGGAAAGTGAGAAAGTTCGCCACCAGGTCTGGGACTCGAACTGTGGTGGACTGTGGGAGGCTGCGTACCAGCGAGTCTGCCGAGGCCATTTTCATGAGTCTCTTACTACTGCCAACTTAGGAAGTCCTTAGGTTTCGGTTTCTCAGAGAGCAAACAATTACACAATGCCAAAGGCCACAATTGGCTCCCCTTCAAAACCTCACCTTCAAAACCATACTCTGATTGGCCACTAGAATCCCTCAGATTTGCATATCCGGCACCTCATGATTAGTCCACAAAAGCAATCCTTCATTTACATATAGAACAACCAATCACCATCTACCAACATGTATATAACCACAATCCCTGGCCCACAATAAACGGAAGACCCTGAAGAATTGTAACACTGTGTTGTCCCTATGTTGTAACATTGCACCCTTAGTCCTCTCTCACTCCTTCCTTCAGGAAATCTGTTTGACTGTCCTGCAGTCCATACAGTGGACCATATGGGAGTGTCTAGCACCTTAACCACCATGCCACCTGCTGGTTCCCAACAGGGTCTTGATGCCACAATCACCAGTAGTTGTAGTCAGC